AGGTCTGATAATGTCCAAGTTAAGTTATTAGTGAACATATACAGTATCTGCTGGGATTTTCAGAGAGCATGAAGGGAATACTAACAGACAGAAGCAGGGATTGGGCGTGCAGAGCAGAGAAAAGATGAAAGGTGAGGTGACAAGAGGAGAGGAGAGGAAGGAAAGAGAGTGGCAAAAAAGGAAAGAGAGGAGCAAAAAAGAAAGAGAAGACCGAGGCAAAGAAAGAAGGGGGCAGGAAGGAAGAGTCAGGGGCAAAGAGAGACCACAAAGGCTAAGACAGAACCAAAACATTAAAGGGCAGTAAGAAAAAAACAAAGGAACGGCTGAGACTGAAAGAAAAAATAAAAAATTAAAAAGGAAATCATTGGGGAACACTGTCAACAGTAACTTCCTTTAAAAACACCTTAACTTTATTTTGCTCTTCTCAAACAATTCAGGAGTTACATTTATTTGGGAAAGATGTAGATTAAAAAAAAAAAATCAATCAGGAAACAGCTGTTGAATGAGTCAGATGAGACTAAGCATTTAGAGGAACTCGCTGTTTATAGTGAAGCCATCATCGCTATGCATGTATATAGATGACAGGCAGACACCCCACGATGAGCAATTCTAGCATGGCCATTGAGGTGGAAAATGCCACATCTTAGTGCTCTGGAAACTGCCTTTTCTTCCCCAAGTGAGTAATGCTTATACAATCTGAGAAGCAATGTAACGATAAATAGAGATCTAAAACTCTCTGAAATAAAAGCTGGATAACAGAAGTAGAAATAACGAGGTTCCAGTGACACTCTGGGGACGCCTTAGCTAACGCTATTTTATTGAACCCTCAAATAAAAGTGATCACACAGAATTTCAGAGCAGAATGACACACACCAGTGATCAAGTATTCAAGCCCTTCATGGCATCACTGAAAAACTTGAGAGGCCAAGAGAATTTAAATCCTCTGGCCAAAATCACCACTAACTCAGATCTGATAGTGTCCAAGTTCACAAATTATTAGTGAACATATACAGTATCTGCTGGGGTCTTCAGAGAGCATGAAGGGAATTCTAAGTAAAGGAACCTTATCCATTAATACCTGTTTGTACTTATTATTAGGTTCTTAACAATGAACTTCCTGAGAGCCAAGAACAATGCTAACCCCTTATTCCCAGACTAGAACACATTGGTGAGGGCATCATAGCCAATATGTGTATGTTTAATGAATGGACAGTACACAGCCTGAAGAGGAACTAAAGAGCCTTCTGATGAGGGTGAAAGAGGAAAGTGAAAAGTTGGCTTGAAACTCAACATTAAAAGAAACTAAGATCATGGCATCCAGTCCCATCACTTTATGGCAAAGAGAAGGGGAAATACTGGAAACAGTGGCAGATTTTCTTTTCTTGGGCTCCAAAATCACTGCAGATGGTGACTACAGCCATGAAATTAAAAGACGCTTGCTTCCTGGAAGAAAAGCTATGACCAACCTAGACAGCATATTAAAAAACATACACACCACTTTGCCTTCAAATGTCTGTATAGTCAAAGCTATGGTTTTTCCAGTAGTCATGTAAGGTTGTGAGAGTTGGACCATAAAGAAGGCTGAGCACCAAAGAACTGATACTTTTGAACTGTGGTGTTGAAGAAGACTCTTGAGAGTCCCTTGAACTGCAAAGGGATCAAAGCAGTCAATTCTAAAGGAACTCAACCCTGAATATCTATTGGCAGGACAGATGCTGAAGCTGAAGCTCCAATACTCTGGCCACTTTATGCGAAGAGCTGACTCACTGGAAAAGACCCTGATGCTGGGAAAGTTTGAAGGCAAAAGGAGAAGGGGGTGGCAAAGGATGAGCTGGTTGGATGGCATCACTGGACATGAATTTGAACTAACCCAAGAGAGAGAGGAGGTCAGGTGTGCTACGGTCTATGGGGTCATAAAGAGTCGAACAGAATTTAGAAACTGAACATCAGGGGCACGGAAGCACAAAGTGATAACCTTACACATCATGACTGCGTAACTTTCATATTAAATTCTTTACAACAGGCTGCTTGGACTTCCCTGGTGGCCCCGTGGTTACGAATCCACTTTGTTATGCAGGGACACGAGTTTGATCCCCGGTCAGAGGACTAAGATCGCACATGCCACAGAGCAACTAAGCCCTCGCATGGAAATTAGTGAGCTGTGCCCCACAACCAGAGAGTCTGTACGCATCAACGAAGGATCTCACATGATGCAATAAGGATCCTGCGTGCTATAACTGAGTCCCACAGCAGCCAAAGAAAGGACGCTATTGAAAAAAAAGTAAATATAGGCGGCTGCCAGTAACATGGAGGTTACACCAGACCCTACGCCAGTCCTCGAGAGACTGCCCACTACCACCGTACCTTCCCCAAGGATGGGCTCAGCCTACAAATTATTTGACACATAGCTCAGAAGATAAATGGCCTGTGCCTCTAGGGGACATCTGGCCTCACTCTTAAGGACAGTGTGAAAAATAAAACACAAACTGGGTAGTAATTAGATGTCCCCTGAGGAAAAGCTTCCTTGTATTAGCCATGATCATGTGACTCAAGCAAGTCCCAAAGTAGACGTGTCCAGCGGGTGAATATCCCTTATTTTTGGATCATCTCTCCAGCCCAGGCTCACCTTCCTCACAGCATCACAGCGGCTCAAAACATCATTTGTCTCCCTCAAACCCGTCCCTAACCTCTTACATACGCTAGCCTCTCAACTCCTCAAAAACCCTCCTTTCCTAATGGAAGTTAACTGGCTCCCATTCAAATTCAGCTCCACGCATCCCCTTTCCACTAGAGCCTGCCATTCCCCACCTCCAGGATCAGCCACCCAGAGTACACATCTCCCAACAGGCAGATGCCGATCCCCTTTGGAGCCCGGCTCTACTTTGCAGGCTGGTAGGAAGGAAGAGGCACCTGTAGGCCCCAGCATGTTTGCTCAGAGAAGTGTTGGTGGATTTAATTCTTGATGGAGCGTAGGTGATATCTGTATAAATTTTAACCCATGGTATCCTTAAAACCCATCATTTAGAATTGTGTTCCCATGATGGTGGCAGTTGGGGGAGGGGGGCATTCTGATCAATTTTCAATAAATTCACCAACATAGTCCGAAAATACCTCTCACTTCCAAGTTAGAAATAATTAAACAATCAAAAGTATATTTAAAACACTGTGTTTCACAGACTCTGTGAAACTGTGAAACATCCCTGGAACACTTAGATTTGGCAAGTTACAGAGAGAGAGACATGAACTTACCTAACTAGCTACACAAGCACAACTTGTAACTTCACAATAATTAGTTAAATTAAGCTAAGTGTGGGGCCTTTTCTAAAGGTCTCCTCCCACCAGATTTATTTTATAGAAGAGGCCTGATTTACTGGAATCACATTTCCACCACAAGGTTCTCCAAACTTGAAGGATCCTTCCTTTCCCAGATTGGAAACACAGCCGTGTAATGCAACTGGACGGGAAGCAGGAGGCGAGCTGTTGCAGGGTGACTAAGTCACAATCAAGAAAAGCTCTACCACAAACTGTAAGGAGTATGGGAGCAGGAGGGGATATAATAGAAAGAATAATAAATTAACTAACCCATCCCAAAGAGTTTAGTCAGTTATGGTTAAAGCACCCTCCAAAGAGTGATCACAAAAAACATCACTGAGTCAGCAGCAAGAGGTGTGGTTTGTCTTCCTGTGTGCAATCCCTTTCAGCAGTTGTTCAATGGGTGATGCTTCCCACAATACATTCTGAGCGTCTGGGGTCTAGAATGTGCCAACTCGCAGGGCAGGATCCACCCAGCCCCTCAGGCAGGCTCTGCTGGCTGCAGCCAGCATCCTTCACAGGTGTACACACCACGTGCGCTGTAAACTCAAAAGCAAGGGACGCAATTTTGACTGGAAGGTGCGTGGGGGCCTCTATCACTCTGGGAACAGTAGGAAGACAGGGAGAAATCAAACAAAACCAAGAACCCAGCCCATTCCTACCCAATCTGGTTTCACACCACTCCCCCTTCTTTGGTTATTCTGGAAGACCAAAAAGACCAGCTTTCTCTTTCCTCACTGTTTCCTATCCTATTTCTTGTCAAGTCTGATTCAGCGCCAATCATGGATTTCCCCGGGGCTCTGCCTGTGTTGGGGATGAGACAGGAGAGAGGGGAGGTGCCTGGCCCTAACCTGGCAGAAGAATCTCCAGGGGAATCTAGAAAGGAGCCGTGGGACATGCAGCCTTGTCTTGACTCCTGGCCCCCAGCGCGATCTTTTCTACTGCTCTGGCCTCCTTGGCTCTTGAAGTGAAGTGAAGTGAAAGTCGCTCAGTCGTGTCCGACTCTTTGCGACCCTGTGGACTATACAGTCCATGGAATTCTCCAGGCCAGAATACTGGAGTGGGTAGCCTTTCCCTTCTCCAAGGGATCTTCCCCACCCAGAGATCGAACCCAGGGTCTCCCACATTGCCGGCAGATTCTTTACCAGCTGAGCAACCAGGGAAGCCCTAAGCCCTTAGCTCTTAACTCCACCACATAACCACATCCCTCTGGGCACAGTCCCCAGGCAGACCTGTGCCCCGGGACCGCCAGTCTCTTCCCTATAAAGCACTGTTGTGTCTTCACTCACCGTAATTCCGAAGACTGAAACACACACGTTACCTGCCTCCTCAGCACCCCCACACCCCATGGAGGTGATCATTCTCCCAACAGGAGACAAAGAACAGGCCTAAAGTCTCCATGCGACTCGCCAGCAGTAATCGCCTCTCCTCTGGAGGCCACCAGAACCCGCAGCAGCGGTTCTCAGAATCTGATAGGAAGCAGAACGACCCGGCGAGCTTGTCAAGGTCACAGACCCAGGGGCCGGGAAACGAAAAGTTTCTAAAGTCTGGACCCCTCTGAGAGCAGAAGCGGGGCCCACACAAATGGGGGAGGGTGTCCGGGCAAACTTGGATTTTCCTTTTTGAGCTCGGTTCCCCACGCGGGATCTGAAGTACACCCACCGGCAGTGCGGCCGCGACTCCCGCACATGCGCCCCTCCGGGACCCCCCGAGACCCCCGGCGCCGCGAGGAAACGGGATCCAAAATCCATCGCGGGCGGCGAGGGTCCCTGGGGAAGCCAAAGGCGGCCGGCCGGAGACGGAACTTTGCAAACTTCCTAACCCGCGCGCCCAGAAAAGCAGAGAAAGCCGACGGCCCAACTCTGCACGCCCGCGACCGTCCGGTCCGGCGCGCGCGCCCTCCCCTCCTGGCCGCCTGGGGTGCCGGCGGTCCCCGCCCCCGTCGTCGCCCCGCACCCTCCAGGGAGGCTCGGGAGCAGGGACCCCACTCACCGCCGGGAGCGCCCCGCGCCGTGCACCGCCGCGCCCTCGCCGAAGGTTCGCGTCCCAGGAGGCCGAGGGCGCAGGAGGCGGGGAGTCACCTGCGCGTCGGGCGGCGGAGGGCAGCGCGGGCCCGCCCGGGCCGCGCCTCCCGGGCCCAGGTGCCGCGCCGGCGAGGGCGGGGTGGGGACGGGTTGCAACAGGTCCCGCGCCGGGTCGCACCGCAGCGCGCGCAGCTGGCCAGCGTCCCGGAACCTGTCCGAACTCAGACATCCAGCCCTCGGCCGGCAAAGCAAAAAACCCTTCTTTTTCTGTCCGCCCGCGGGGCTACCCAGCCTCGACAGGTCCCAGCATCCGGGCCCGGGTGAGCAGACCCCCTGGAGGCCGGCGGCGCTCACCTGGCCGGGGGGTGTGCGCGCGGGGCGGCGGCCCGCCCCCGTCCCGGGTGCGCTCCCGGCTCAGCAATGCAGGGGGCGGCGCGGTGGGAGGCGGGCTGGGACCACCCCCGGGACCCGGCGGACTCGGCTCCTGGGAGGTAATGCTCATCAGGAGCCGGCCTTGCAGACCCTACCCCGCCACCCGCCGGATTATGTCCCGGCTTGGAGAAGAGCAGGCAGCTGAAAGGTGTCAGACAAAGTGCTTGTGAAGTCACCTTTTTGGAAGAGAGAAGAATGTTAAGTATTTCAGAGATGTGGGACTGTCTTTGGATTGTCCTGGCTACTGACTTGGAATGAAAGGAAGACCTGAGCGAAAAGCAGGTCACTCGGTGGGGTGCCGTGGAGCAATGCTGTGGACCCAGAGACACTCTCCTTTGGTTTGAATATAATTGCAGCAATTAATAAAACGAAGTTTATATTTTCTTGTCTACATCTCAGTAAATCTGTTTCGAGTGTTTCTAATAAGTGTATCATCGCGTTGTCTTCCAGCTCTAGCCATTTGCCATAAATGTTAAGAATGCATCCTAGTAGGGAGAAAAATGGATCTTTAGGGGAAAATAGGCGTATTTTGAACTTCTGGCTAGATGTGTCAATTATCATAAGCTGGCATTGACTTTTTAAATGACTTTTATGGTTATTTTTCCCAGAATAAATCACTTGGGGAAAATGCTAAACTGTTGAGATTTGGGTTAGGTCCTCCTGAATAGATACAGGCAAATGAAATTTACATTTTCTAGATGTTGAAACAGAGCAAAGGACAAAGGTGGAAAGTAACAGTAAGTCCCACCACATCGCAAAGCTAAGCTTCCAGATTGTGCTATTTATGATCTGTAGTCTCTTTAACAGCAAGGAGAGAATATTCTTGTTTTACACATTTAACTTCTTTCTTCTCTTTCTGCCAATTCCCATGTTTCACTTTTTAATATTTTTGCAATTCTGTTCTTCATTTTTCGCATGCCATCTTCTGACTCACTCAGTCCATGTTCTCTGTGTGGATTTTCATTTACTGTGCGCAGCTGGTTTAGTCCCTAATGCGTGTCTGACTCTTGCGACCCCGTGGACTGTAGCCCGCCAGGCTCCTCTATCCATGGGATTCTCCAGGCAAGAATACTGGAGTGGGTTGCTGTTTCCTTCTCAAATATAAGCACCTGAAACTATGTTAATAAATATATGCTTATCTTATTTTAAAAACAGCAAGAGTATTTAGACTAAACAAAACGGCCCATGGGAAGTTGAATTTTATTGATATACATTCATACATAAAGCAAGTGAAATCGCAAAGAAGGATATCTAGTAGGATGTTAGTTATTCAAAACAATAAAAGAGAGGAAACTATAAGTAGAGAGGAAGAATCTATTAAAGGGCCTATACTGAGGGCTTTCCATCTTTAATGGGTTGAGAGACTGTATCAAATTGACATGACGCCTTAAGGAGCCTGCAAGCTAGATGAGACGGGAGACATGTACAGCAAACAGAACTAGCATGAGCCAGTGAGAGGAACTTTAAGTGGAAAGCTCCGGGTGCTTTACAGGCAAGAGGAACAAATGATTAACTGCTTAGATCATTGGGGAATGCAAGCAGAATTTCACAGAAATGTTGGAATTTGAATTGAGTCCTGACTGATAAGCAAACTCGACAGAAGATGGAAGCTGACATACAACTAGATGCTGAGATCACAGAGGAAAGGTTAGAGGTGAGAAAGCAAAAGTGAGTTCTGGGGCCCTGCACAGAAGTGGCGCACATGGCCATGGTTGCAGCAGGCCTGCGCTGGGAGGTAAGTTTAGGAATAAATTACAGATATTCCTCACCTGCAGAATGAGATCATGGTTATTTACTGCCTAGGATTGTTGTAAGAATTATGAATTAGGACTAGTACTTGTAAAGCCCTTATCTGGGCACTGATGTGGGGTAATAAGTGGCCACTGTTGTTATACTGGGCTTCCCTGGTGGCTCAGAGGTTAAAGCATCTGACTGCAATGCAGGAGACCTGGGTTCGATCCCTGGGTTGGGAAGATGCCCTAGAGAAATAAATGGCAACCCACTCCAGTATTCTTGCCTGGAGAATCCCATGGATAGAGGAGCCTGGTGGGCTACAGTCCACGGGGTCCCAAAGAGTTGGCCACGACTGAGCGACTTCACTTTCATTGTTATACTTGGGCTCAGATCGTGAAGATTCCTGATTGTAAAGCTGCAAAGCAGAGACCTGGTATCTACTGATGGTGAAATAATGACTAATCTCATAGTTGTTTCCCATCTAGATGAATTCTAGAGTGTAAGAATGAGCAGTTGGTCCAGCTGTGGTCTAAAAAGGGTGGCGGGGTGGCAGCAGTGACAACAGAAAGGAGACCAATCCGACAACCATTGAGGCTGAAAATCAGTGTCATGTGGGGTCAGAGTGGATGTGGAAGTTCAAAGGAATGAAATAAGAAATAACCAGAGTGGCTAAAAGTTATCAGTAGGGAAAAGGAAAGAAATAAACTAGCTATGTATGTGAAAAGTAGGTCTTCCTACTTTTGAGAAACAGGGTCATGTGAAATTTATTTCTGAGATGATGGGGACCTCTCTAAATCTATAAACACTGTGAAAAGGAACCAGCAGAGGTTAGAAAGAACAGTGGTAAGGAACAAGATGCAAGTAGTGCGGGAAAGAACACATAAACCTCAGTCTTTCCCGGAAAACTGTGCTTAGTATGTTCTAACCTTTAGTTTTTTAACAGTAGCATAGATTGAAACCAGGAACTAGAAGTAGAATTTTACAAATAATTTTATACTTAAGAAATAACAAACAAGAGGAGTGAGAATATGGTATTTATGACTAAGAGGCTCCGAAGACAATATTTATTGATCAAACAGCGAGTCCGTCTTTACCCCATTCCACAAAATTTAGGCTGAGGTCCAAGAACAAAATAGTGGCAATGTCAAAGTTCATTCAACAGAGCTTGATCTATCTCCCGTATTGAGTTCACATACACGAGGCATTTCAAAACAGTTTGAAGTATTTTTTCTGACCCTCAAAGTACTTATAATTTCATTGAGAATACAAACTATAATGAAATAGAATAACAGAGTAACATATAGATGCACAAAAGTATACATAAAAATAAGAGAGAGAAATCATAGAAGGGAAAAAACAACTAAAGTTTATTGGAAAATCAGAAAATTTATATTCTCAGTGACTATTTTTTTCTGTTTATTTTGCTTTTAACAAAACTGTGTTCCTTCAAAATGTCTTAGAAAAATGATATGAAGCAATTTCAATGAATTACTATATTTCAGCCATTATTTATAGATCAAAGGAGCACTAAGCTTCTGGTCCTTTCAAGAGCTTTAAAATAAACATTTTAGTGCACTTCAAGGCAATGCCTTCCAGACAGATAAAGCCATTGATACAGAAAGAATGTCATATCTAACAATAAAAAACTAGTTGTGTTTATCAATAACATTTTCCCCCAGTACTTTGGGGGAAATTAAGAAAGAAAATTCCTATCAATGTTGGGCAAAAAGTACTGTTGGGTGAATAATCACATGAGTTTAATTGTCCTATGACATTTCATGTATGACTAGTGTGGAAATCATTGAAATGAACATTTTATCTATGTTCCACATTTAATTTGTTTCATAAGGTAAGTGTCATTAACTCAACACATATTTATTGAGAACTTTCTGTAGGAAAGGCATCATACCAGACACTAGTTAGGGCAGAGGGTGGAAAGTTAATTAGGCATAGTAGGTATGCCTAGAAATCAGCTGTTTATCTGAATCTTTGATGTGTGTGTGTGTGTGTGTGTGTCTGTGTATGTTCATGTGTGTGTAAAGACGGAAAAATTTTAAATACAATTTAAAGTCCAAAAAGATGCTGTGATTCTTTGTGAAAAGAGGTATGGAAAAATGCAGTTATATATAAGTAGGTGCATATGTAGATTAATCATAGTTTTTCTGTTTTGTTTCCACCACTAAATTCTTTTAGAAGGATGGGAAATGAAATTATGGTGTTTTACTGTGTAATAATTTTTTTCATCTAGAAGTAAGTATAGAAGGTTAGATAATTGTAATAAATTATTTTAGGAAGTGAGGTAAAGAGAAACAAAATGGTAATTAAAATGCAGAAAAACATCCTCTTATATTTTTAAATAGCCATTAGGTCCTACCTTCTCACAAATGCATTTTCTCTTCAATTTGGGCAGCACAAATAGCCTGCTTACATTTTTTATGACGTCCACACTAACTTTAAAAATCTTACCAGTATTTACTAGTAAAATACATAATCATGCAATGAAATAGAGGGACAGAACATGTAGTGGTGCTAACAGAAGATATTTAATGAAATGTACTGATTATTGTGCTTACTTTTTTTTTTCAATTTTCATTAGTGGAAAACACTATTTGCAAAGATGTATGAAAATTGTCCAGTTTAAATATCTTTTAAAAGGCTTCACTTCTGAAATGTCATTAGCTATTTTATCATCCTTATGGATGAATATGAGTCTCCTAAGGCAGTTTAGAGTGGCAATATGCAGCAGCCACCATCACCAGTGTTATTAACATAATCACTAACATTCATCACTCTCCTATGTTGTATGAATTATTTAGGGACACATCAGTAGTGATTGTTCTAGGTGTTCTCAAGGTCATTCATACCTGGAGTGGATTTCACAGAGGGCAGTTGAGGTCTGAGGTGTAGCTTGTACTTTTGCAGTTAAAGCAATGAGGGGGTGGAAAGTGTGAAAACAGTGGCAAACTGCCAATCCTACTGCCTTTTCTGGAAGGTCTAATTTGGGACTATCTGCAATCCTATATCCCTGTCTCCCAGACATACCACGTTTATTTGCCCTTCATCCCTTTGCCCACATCTGCCCTGGGGATCTCTGTCCCATGATGCCTGCCCCCTCTCCTTGTGTTCCCTTCTGCCTCTCTGCCGGCTTGCTATTGCTC